GCGGAGCCGGGGCTGGGGCGGCCGCGCGGGGGGCTGCGGCGCCTGGCACTTCCAAGCTGGGAAGGCTGGGGAGGGAGAGCCTGGGCGGCGCTGGGCGAAGTTTCTACATCAGAGAAGGAGACAGGCAGAGGGCTGTGAAAGTAATTAGGCCTGTTTGGGACGGTGCGACCAAGTTAATTTGGGTAGAGGACTGGGGCGTGCAGCAGGGTCCCCTGTGAGGGTTGCACATGAGCGCCGGATACAAAACGCGCAGCGCGATGCTCTCTGCGTTTCCGCTTCCTGAACCTTTGGAGCCAGGCGGAACGTGATGCCCATTTTACAGATGAGACAGAAAGGCCTTGGGGAGTTAGGGACCCAAAGCCAAAGAATCCTGGGCAGGTCGGGTTGTGAGGAGAGCCAGGATTTTCTTTAAGACAAAGGCTCCTGAACCTCGACTTTGTATTTCTGTGTTTCTGCACGTGGGATGCCCGAGTAAGGCTTCGAGGAGCCTCGTCCCAGACTCGGCAAGGGGGATTTTTATGTTTTAGTTTCTGCAGTGTTGAGGATTGAATGCTAGGACCTCACTGATGCTGGGAAAGTGCTCTACCCCTGAGGTACGGCCCAGGCCTCCAAGCAGCTCCGTTCAGAGCGGGGTTTTTGTTTCGGTTTTGTTTCTGTTTTTGAGGTGCTGGGGATGAAAGCTCTGTCTCTACTTCTAACCTGGGGAGGACTTGGAATTTATTGTTTTGGTGGAGAGGGGCTGGGCAGTGTTTTACTACACACCAAAGTCAGCGACTTCCAAGGAAGGTGGCTCCCCGCTCCTCAGCCCGGGAGAGCGCGCCGGACCCCAAGGAGGCCTGTGTCTGGGGTTCCTCCTGGGATGTCTGGCACCGGGTGGTCGCTGGTCCTGGGTTCGCAGCAGCCGGCTGGGTTGGTGGTGACCGAGAGGATAAGGGGTCCCATTATTCTGAGTTCCTGGCTGCCGCCTAACGTACAGTTTTGATCATCGTCTAGTGCCCCAGTCCTCCAGTAAAGGAACAAACGAGTTTGCTGCAGGACCCAGGAGCCCCTGTTTCTACCCCTCGCGCTCTAGTGCCCTCACCCTTCTCCGCGGAGACCCGACTCTGTGGTTACACCCAAGCACAATCTGTGGGCGCTTTCAGCCCAATCGGTGGGGGCCGCAGGCGCAGTTGTCATCAGAGTCCTTTCTTCTCGGCCTCTTACACTGCCCCGGATTCCGTCTCCCTCCCTTAGGGCTCCTCACTTCTGGCCACAGGTGTTCTGATGGCAGTCTGGGTGACCTTTTGCTAGAAAGAGGAGGGTGTGTGTCGGGGGGAGGTGCTCACCATTTGCCGGCTTTGGAGGGAGCCTCTACTTCTTGCTCTGGGAAAAGGGAGCTTGATGTTTATTAGTTCAGGCTTTCTGTTTTTCTTTGGTACAGGGATTGAACTCCGGGCCTTTGTACTGAAAGAGCAACTTTTTAGTTTAATTTAGTTTTTTTTAAATTTTGAGGCAGGGCCTCCATAAGTCACTAAATTATCCAGGCTGGGCTCTAATTTGCGATCCTTCTGCCTCAGCCTCTTAGACTGCTGGGATTCCATAGCTCTGTCCAGAATCACTTTTCACACGGGATGACAAAATAAATACATTTGGCTAGGCCCCTTCATTCTCCCTTCCCTGTTACACTGTCTTTCAAAGGATTATTAATTATGTTTCTTGTTTTTACAGGACAAGAAAGGGCTTTCTGGGAAGCAGAATAATTTCGAGCGCAAAGCACTGTTCCAGAGGCAAGTCAGGGCACCTAGTTTGCTGGCCAAAAGCATTTTAGAAGGTAAAGCAACACCAAATTGTCTTTTAGCCTTTTAAACTGAATTGAGTGACTCATTCTTCAGTCACATGACTGATGAACCTGTGAGGGGAAGGTACTTTCATGAGACTCCCAGAAAATGGATCTCACCTACCGAAATTTCTTCAACCATCAGTTTAAGAATATGAATGCTTGTCATGTGCTTAATAGTTAATGAGGCGTGCATGTGAAATTTGCAAGAAAGTGTACAAAAATACACTGCCAAGTGATCCCGGAGCAGATATGGAAAGAAAGATATCGATGAATATGCACACACCTCCTCACTGGTAGCAGCAGCTAAGTGCATACCCTGAGCCCAGAGAGGAGAGGGTTTTATCCAAGAAGCATGGGCAGTAAGATCTCTAGTCCATGGCTTCAACCTCAGATTCACTGTTTCCTAGAATTTTCCTCCCCAGATACCTGGATGATTGTTGTTATTCCACACTTCATTTTTGAGCATTTTGGACAGCTAAGGTAGAAGCCAGAAAAGGATTTGAATTGAACAAGCAAAGTACGGTTGAATTTGAGCATTGTGACGCCTCTAACTTCCCGTAGGTTTTTACTTTCTCTAAAGCATGGGGTGGCTTGAAGTTTCTTAAAATCGTGCTGATTTTCTAAAGCATCTCTATTTGGGCAATTTGTTTCTTGATTTGATAAGCAATATATCGACTATGCCATTTTTCATTAACATTTGAAGTTTTTCTTAAATGCAACTAAAACAGACGTTGTATTCTTTTAAAAATCACTGCCACATCATAAAGTTAAGATTGTAGATTCTTTCTTCTTAAATCAGATATTTGGGTTCTGTTTTTTCTTGCATTGCTTCTGAATTTTTTTTTTTTTTTTTTTTTTCCTCCGGTACCGGGAACTGAACTCACGACCTTGCGCTTGCCAGGCAGGCGCTTTTGCCGCTGAGCTAAATCCCCAGCCCCTGCTTCTGAATTTAGATATAGACAGTTTTGAAGTCTGTTCATATCTCACCCTGTGTTGTGCATTTGTGACCTTAGAGTGGGTTCTCAGGAGTTAGAAATGAATTTGGTAAACACATTTATAATGATAGGGGCCACACTGATAAACTGAAATTTTGCCAAAGCAACTTGAGAAGTTCTTGGACTAAACGGAATAGTAAATTCAAGTAAACAGCTTCCTGGCAAACACACACCATAGAAATAGAAACATTCATTTTCAAATTTTATTTTATTTGCAAATGAGCATGATGGGCTCGTCACTGTGTAAAGACAAATATCACAGTGGATACTTCAAACAAATTTGGTAGTGGTGAGTGTTCGGGGATGATGAAATGCTCCAAGTATTTTATGCCATTAGGAATTCTATTTATGTTACACTAATCTTTGTTTTTGACTTTGTCTCTATTCATGAAATGTGGGATGACTTAATCTGTGTTCTAATTATTACTTGTTCAGCCATTTTGGCATCTGGCCAACATGATTGTCGCTTGGGAAAAATGCTGCAAACCTGTTATTTTCAATATGGCAAGAAATTATCCACTCTCCCCTCACATGTTGTTTTGTTTTGCTTTATTTGTGCTCGTAGTCAGGGGGAAGGCCTAGCTAAACTGTTCACTGCAGGGCATTGGACTAGTTAACAGCTCTTTTCAATTTTCTGTGCTTCTCTGTTTCCTTAAGACTTTATTTTTCTTTTTCTCTTAACTAATCTCCTGTAACTTCTTTCTCTTTTTTCCTAGTTCTCCTTGGATTATTCTACAACTGTAACAATGTGTACATAATGAGCCATCTTTAGAAAATAAAAGTGACATCAGCTCTAGGTATAGATATCTTTTTTTAATAATGAAAAGATGACATGGATAATAAAATGTTGATTGAAGCAAGATGGGCAGTTTTGTCTCTTAATATGTAGGGACTTGGGAAAAATAATAAAATCTCAGTTGGTAAAGTACATTTGTTACAACAGGAGAGCAAATAAACCTGTATCGATAAAAACTGCAACAAAATGTTACAGTGTGGATATCCTTCCTTCAAAAGGAATTATTTCACACTGAATATATACTTTTGCTTCCTGCATAAAAGTATTAGTGATATAGAACTGTAATCATTCATCCGGCCAATTTATGCTGTTTCTTTTGCTTTCTATGTTTCCAGATTTTTCTTCCCTAGATTTAATTTTTTCCTGTGCAATGTTTGCTTATTTTAGGCTATCGCCCTATAACAGCGGAGACTTACCTAGGAGGAGCCTTACCTCTACCTCCCCCGGTTAGTGACAGGATGAGAAAAAGAAGGGCGTTTGCTGACAAAGAGTTGGAGAACATTATGCTGGAGAGAGAATATAAGGAGAGGGAGATGCTGGAAACTTCTCAAGCTGCCGCCTTGTTCCTGCCCAACCGCATAGTGCCTGGACCTGAATACAGCTCCTACAAAAGTGCCTACAGCCCCACCCCGGGGGAGCTGTCAAGTAAGGACTTCTGCAATTTTTTGCCTACCTGCCTTGATCTCACCATGCAGTATTCAGGATCTGGGAACATGGAACTGATTTCCTCCAATGTTAGTGTGGCCACGACGTACCGACAATATCCTTTGTCCTCAAGATTTTTAGTGTGGCCCAAGTGTGGCCCTATTAGTGACACCCTTCTCTACCAACAATGCCTTCTAAACGCCACCACCTCAGTTCAGGCCCTGAAGCCCGTGGGCAGCTGGGACTTGAAGGGAACAAGGGTCCCGGATGGGTTCAGTTCAGAACACACCATGATGCCACCGAAGCTGGAGAGCTCCCTGGTGCTACCTCACCCTCCGGAGGTCCAGACCTTGAGAAGTGACTTTCAGGGTCACCAAGCTGTCCCTGAGAGGTCCGCCTTCTCCCCACCCCAACGGAATTTCTCTCCCGTTGTTGACACGGACTCCCTGGCTCAAGGGCCCGTCTTAACCAAGATCAGCAAAGAAAACACTAGGCACCCTCTGCCACTTAAAAATAATCCATTCCACTCATTACTCCAGCAAACGCTTAATGACAAATCAGGTCCTGAGCTGAAAACTCCATTTGTCAAAGAGGCTTTTGAAGAGACCCCGAAGAAACACAGAGAGTGTTTGGTCAAGGAGAACCAGAAATACACATTTACAATAGATAGATGTGCAAAAGACCTTTTTGTGGCCAAACAAGTTGGAACAAAACTCTCGGTGAATGAACCTCTGTCATTTTCGGTCGAGTCTATTCTTAAGAGGCCTTCATCTGCCATCACTCACGTCTCCCAGTGAAAGAAAGGCTGCTAAAATGCAAAGGTGGATTTTCCACTGCCTCAGATGGTTTTTGCCATACACTTATTTTTTTTAAAGTTAAAATGTTTGTATAAAGAAAATTTTAATGTAAATAATGATGATTTTTAAAAATTCTATATATTCATATGCATGTACCTTTTCTTATCACATAAATATATTTAAACTTAAGATGGAAATTGCGTACTGTGCAAATTGTAGAGTTCTATGCCTTACATAGCATTTCAAAAAGAAATAAAACTGATACTGTCGTCTAAAAGATCCAGTGTTTGCTAAGCAAATAGCTGTCCCTGGCTGGATTAAAAAGCTGGTGTCTGTGAAATGTGCCCTGTATTTCTCTATATTTCTGTGTATTTTCAAGTGCTGTTAATGGCCATTGGGGGCTACAGGAGAAGTCTTATAATGGTCTAGTTTTACTTTCTTTTCCCTGTCTGTACCTGCTAGACAAGCACTCTGTCACTGAGCTCTACCCCCAGATCTAGTTTTGCATTTGGAAGGACATATAAGTTTAGCTGTTCAAGACTGAGGTAAAAATAGCTTAAGGAGAGTATTAAGGCTGTTTGCCTATCATGGAATCAATTGCATGTGGTTGGGCAAAGTTGAAATAATTTGAAGGGAAATCAAGTATAACATCTCATTTATAGGATGATGTGGGTTTTCGGAATGGTTTTCTTCCAACTCTGTGGGCCCAGTTTCCTTCCATGTTCAGGCTGGGTATGGGGGTCTCAAGCCTCCTTTTCAGGAAAAGAACACCCCTTTGAAGATTTTTAGCTCCTTTGAGCAGTCTATGATTTTGGGTTGCTGAGGGTCACAAAGCAACTTCCCTGAAAGGATGCAGTCTGTTCAGCTCATGGTGATGACAAACATCCTCTGGCTTCGTGTAGGGCCCTATTTGGGAAGGGCTGGTATCAGCAGGCATTTAGGTGCAGGCCCAGCCAGCAAGCTTTATGCCTTCTACATTCACAGCAGTGTCAAAGGCTTTCTTGTGAGATAAAATATTTACTGTTCAAATCTCTTTGGCTGACAGTTGCTGATGCCTGCAGATGTTTGTCTCAACATAGGGGTGGCTTCAGGAGTCTTATACCTTTTCTTCCCTGTTAAATTCCTTGTTTTTCTCAATGGAATGCTAACTATTGTTCCTTACACTTGATGAAGTGAGAGCAAGATATTTATGAGTATTAAATTCATCTCTTAAGATCTCATCTGTGAATCCCAGATCAGAGCAGGTCCTAAGATGTCAGAGTCTCAACCAGAAAACTGGAACCAATATCTCACTTGGAATGCTACCCTGCGGTGAGGGGTGGGTGGCCAGGACACTGGGGGACCTGTGGAATGTGCCAAGGGTTGCAGCAGTTCAAAGATGTTCTGTCTTGTTCTTAAAACACTTAAAATTATTTAGAAATGATTTTGCTATTGATGAGTTCATGTAAACCTCTAGGGGTTTTCTAAATTGTTGCTTAAAATTACTATCAATTGCAAAAACAACAAGCCAAAACTTGGGTTGATTTTCAGTTTGTTTCAGTAAAATAATACTTGGTTTTGTTGAGTCAAATTTGCTCCTTTTTACTATTGCAAAAGCCAGGATGAATGGAAATTTGCCAGAAGAAGAAAATGAAAGCAGGCAGAGATTCCAGTAAGTGTTGAAGAGTATCATTACGTGACAAACAGTGTCTCAGCCAGTATGCCCTAGTGTTGGAGACGTTTTTCTTGCAGTCACCTCTGCGTTAGCTATACGGTCACTAATCTTCCTATCTGAAATTTATTTTTGTGTGTTGTGTTAAATGTAAACCTAGTGTTGAATCACACTGCTTCAGAAGTACTGAGGGGAGGAGCTGGGGATTTAGCTCAGCGGCAAAAGCGCCTGCCTGGCAAGCGCAAGGTCGTGAGTTCGGTTCCTGGTACTGGAGAAAAACCAACAAAAAAAAAAAAGAAGTACTGAGGGGAAACATGTTAGGATAAAGTTACTTAATATCCCCATGAGAAGGCCTTCTTAATTCAAATGTGTCTTTTCTCTTTATTTCATTTTTTGTGTTTTTGAATACTTATATTTGTTAATTTCTTTCGTCTTTTGTATTCAAAGAACGTTTTGGGACTTCTGTTCTGTCCTGTCTCCATATCACTTTAATCCCATTAAGTGAATCCTGTTGGCTGTGGGTATTAGTGGTTTTTCTCACATTACTAGTGACCAGAATTTTATTTTTCTTGAATGTTTATGAGGGTCAGTATTTTCCCTGGCAAATTCATTAATACACCATGCATTTGTTCTGCTATAATGATGAGTTCTTGGAATGTAAGTCTACCAAGTCTACCATCAGTTACTTAATCAAAGCTTTGTACTTAGCTCTTGGCTTTTAAAAAATCATTTTACTTCTTTGAAAGCTATTATAGTCTTTAGAGAACAGTCATTGACAGATTAAGTCAAACTTGTGGTTCAGTTTAAGAATTTTCTATGTTAAAGGCAACAAATGGATTTGGCCTTAAATATTTTTGAGAATATAAAAATAGTAATGTTTTTATTAAACTTACAGCACAATAATGCCTTGCTTTCTTTCCATTTCAATCAGTCAAGTGCTATTTTTTGCTCTAGTTTTAGTTATCAAAATGTTATAGCACTGCTTCTCAAGTTTTATGACCTATGGACTCTTCATAAAATGCAGATTCTGGTTCTACAGGTGTGGGTGGGCCTAGGTTCTGCAATTCTGCCACACTCTCAGAAGCTGATGCTGCTGATCTTCAGGCCACACTTTGAGAACAAAAGTTTGTTAATTTGTAAAGTAACTTGTAAAATTACTTTATTATTTTAAATGCACATCTAATATAATCTGCTATTAATTTTAGTTTCTAATACAATAATGATATTACTAGCATGAATAATATATATGTGATGTTAAAAAAATTTCAATTTCTTCTAATAGTTTGGTGGTTAACATAAGATAAAACTTTGGCAAAGACATACAGCACACACAAAATTTGCTACCCTTCGTTTTTTCCAAAATGTAGAAGTTGTTTCAATTTGATTAAAAATATAATATGTACATTTAATATTGATTTATTTATATCTATTTTTTGCAGTCCTAGGGATTGATCCCAGGGCCTTAGCACTGAGCTATATCCTCAGCCATTTTTTTTTTGTTGTTGTTGTTTTTTTCCGGTACCAGGAATTGAACTCATGACCTTGCGCTTGCCAGGCAGGTGCTGTGCTGCTGAGCTAAATCCCCAGCCCCCTCATCCATTTTTATTTCTTGTTTTGAGACAGGTTGTTGCTAAGTCACTAAGTTGCTCAGATAGGGCTTGAACTTGCAGTCCTCTGGCCTTAAATTTCCAAAGTATGTGGGGATTACAGGAGTGCAACACCATACCCAGCTTATACTTAATTTTTCAATGTGGAGAAATATATGTAACAGAATTTATCATCATGACCATGTTTAAGTATAAAGTTCAATGTTTTTAAAATACATTCACATTGTTGTGCAGTCATCACCACCATCCATCTTCAGAGCTCTTTTTATCTTGTAAAGTGAAATTCCATACCTGTTAGCAATAACTTTCCACCGAGCCCCTGGCAGCCTTCATTCTACTTTCTGTCTCTATGTATTTGACTAGCCTAATGTTACAGACAGCTAAGTTAGGTAGAAATATTACAGGCAGTCAGACAGGGCTAGGCCCTCGAGGGAGTCGGTGAGGAGGATGACAACACATTACAGCTTGGCTGGAGGCGCTCCATTGAAGGCCAGGCCTCAAGACAGAGATGGAATGACCAGGCCTAAGTGCTTCCCGAAGAAGTAAGCAATATACTAAACTGGTATCACCTGGTCCAATAAAGTCTAAATAGACATCAGTCACCCAGGTGGGTAACCAAGACCTCCTGATTGATGTCATCCAGAAAAGGTCCTGGTTCTTTACATGTACACTTGCTATGTGATTCGCTTCCCACTGGATCAACATTACCCAAGTGACTATACTTGTAATCTTATTGGTTGATCATAGTTTGACCTATGTTGTGCCCAGCTCATGACTTTGTACCCACCTTGTGATTTTGCTCTATAAAACTTCCTTTGAGAAATGGGCTCATTGGCAACCCACTCAGGCCCCTCCTCTCTTTTAGGCGCTATCTCCCTCAATAAAATTTCCTACTCTAACCTCCATTGTTCCTTAGAATTCATGCTTTGATTTTGGGGAACACGAGCTCCATATATCTGACATCTAGCAGTTATAGTATTTCCTTATATCATTTAAAGATCACCAAGTACTTTAGATAAGTAGATTTATGTGTTTATCTCTTTGTGACTGGGTTATTTCACTTGGCGTGATATCCTCATGGTTTACTTATGTTGTAGTGTGTGTCAGAATTTCCTTTCGTAAAAGCCTGAATAATATATGAGGGTGATGCCTGCAATGATCTAGCAAATTTCTATTAGGCCCCACCTCTTAAAGTTTCCACTATCTCAGCGCCACCACACTGGGGACCGCATTCCTGGCACATGAACGTGTGAGGAAGAAACTCAAACCATAGCCAAACCCTAACAGGGTGCAGATATCTCCGTGAAACCTGGCTGTCAACTTGTTTGAGTATATGTGTCATCTTTTTTCACCCAGTCCTCACCACCTCGTTTCCCTGCTTCTTGTTTCTAAGAAGTGAAGTTTTCAAGTCTACTTCTCTCCCCAGAGACACTGTCCATCTCTCTCCCGCAGTGTGTGGGTCATTTCCTCTTAATACTGCTGGCACCCAGGGAGTCTCCAATACCAGTTGTATAACTTTTAGTGGGAGTTTGCGTGTTACCAGATCCTCTGCACTTAAAAGCTTAATTCCAATTACATAATGAAAGACTGCAACTTATATCAAGAAATGTTTCAGAATCCTTTTGACAGTCTCAGAAGTGCTGAACAGTAAAGAAATGGCTGAAGGTCAAGATGAGGAAATGAGAATTCACAATTCTCTGTTGAATAAAGACATCATTTAGTATAAAGGATGGGTTTTTAATTGGGGTTGGGATTATTACAGGCCCACCTGATTTCATTAAGTTTTGATTAATTTTCTTTGTTTGTATTGTAGTTCTACAAGCGTAGGCTTATTTCTCTAACTAGGGTCCAATTTGTAGGGATGGTAGATTTTGAGATGGTTGCATCCACTATTATGTAAACGTGGGCCTCACTTATATTTAGGTCTAAGTACACTTGAATGTGCTGAATAGAAACACATGGAAATAGGTTGGCATTTGGTGTAGTAGTAAAATAATAATTAATACGTTTGGAGTTTCCAATATACAAGGCATATTTGCATTTATTATCTCTTATATTCCTCAGAAATTCTATAAAATTTGGCAAATAGCCCTGCCAAGGGTCTTTCTCTCTCTCTCAATCTGTCAACAAATTTGGAGATTTTCCTAATATACAACATGGCTTAATACAGCCTAATCTATCTCTGTACTTTTGTGTGAAAATATTAAGTGCATGAAAGGTTATATAAAAGACAAAGTATATGATGTGTATAATTTCACTTGTACAACTACATATATCTCAATGTAGAAATGTGAGTACTCATCCACCTCCATTAAGTTACACACACACACACACACACACACACACACACACACACACACACTTACTTGTCTCTTGGAATTGTAAGATCATTGAAATAAAGAGCAAGAAAGGGAATGTATTATGGAAACAGTGTTGACTGACAGCTCCAGCTATCATGCCATTGGATCTATTATGGTATTCACACCAAGGCCACACTTTATTGGGCTACTTCCAGCATATACCTGAGTAGAGTAGGGTTACTAGCAAGGAACCATTTCTGTCCTATCATGAGATTGCTCTAACAGATGGCTTTGGCTGGAGAATTCCCCATCCAAGTGTATTGTTAGACGTGTTTGCTGAATCTAAAGGCATCTCCATTCTGTCTGTGTTCTGAATCAACCAAAACATAAGACAAAAGAGTTGGCAGTTGGAGATTGAAATATTTCTACCTTATCACTGATTGCCATTACACTGAAGATGCAACTTACACAGAGGAGCAAGATTTTCCAACACTGAACTCCCAAATTACAGACCACCCACCTAGAAATACTCAGCCCACCACATCTCTACCCGTTGGAGTAGCGATTGAGAGTCTCTGTTCTCTGCACACAGGTTGACACCTGAAAGGAAGGAGAAAGAAATGAGAAGAGCTACCTGCACCCTTTACTTTTTATCCTAAACTCACCCATCAGGTAAGTAACTCCTTCCACCCTTGGCTGTACAATATATGCTATTGTTTGTTCTTTTTTTTGAATGGAAGTAAACACACAGAAAATATCCACTTGAATTTGATGACTAAGTCAAAATTTAAGTCAGTACTGAAGGTAAAAGCTGGGGGCTGGGAAATAGCATGATTGCTTCATTTATGCTAATGGGACTAAAGACTATGTATTTTTTTTTAGAATAAAAGAGAACACTGGAGAAATTACTTTTTGATCACAGCTGGAACTAGGACATTGAAGACAGCATGCTGGTAAGTGCTGCCATATCCTTTTACCAATGAACACATCATTTGATGTTATTACTTAGCATGGCCCAAGGGGTGTGTTCTGATTTTATCAGTCATCACCAAATTGTTTTCATAGAATGTTATCATAAATGTTCCCTGAGATGTTGTGAAGCCAAATTAATATTTCCTTATCAGTTCTCCTTTTAATAGCTACTACTGGGGTATCAGGAGGATGTCACACAGGAGTTATGTACCAATTTAGCAAGGCATTTAACAAAGTCTTTCATGATAGGGAATTTTAAGATTGATAACAGTGAAGTCAAGGGAATTGGTAGCTGTCTGAACACATAGCTTCGAGAAACATTGAGTGATACATCAATATCAAAAGTCTCAAGTCTCATGGCTCAAGGGTCCCCTTGTTTTATACTATATCCTAGCTGGCAAATTAAAATAAATAGCAGTGTACTTATCAAGTCTATGGATGATATTAAGTTGGAAGATCTGGCCACTATTGATGGTGGAACTGGGCTAGACTAAAACTGTTGATCAAAGGGAAAATCTTACATTGGGTTTTAAAAACAACTACCACTCAGTTCTGAAATTATTTGTTGAAAGAGAATTGATGTTAGTTTTATGTGAAAACAGTCTGGTAATCATAGAGGATCACAAGCCTAAAAGGAGCCAAGAATGAGTCATAGTTATAAGAAATTAATAGTGGTTACTTTGGCAGCACATACACTAACATTGGCGTGATACAGAGAAGATTAGCATGGCTAATGTACAAGGATGAAACAAAAATTTGTAAAGCATTCCATATTTAAAGAAAAGAGAAAAGAAATTGATAATACAAGCTTGTATTCCATTAATAGAGTTTCCAGATCAAATAACATGTTAGCTGCAACAAAGTCCCCTCAGATGCAAGTTGGGCATTTGTGACCAGTTCTGAGTGTTGCATTTTTATGGGGTTATTGATGAATTTGGCCATGAGGATGGCAAAAGGACTGTCTTGTCCAACTATATATAGTTAAGGGCACCGGAGGTGTGGCCTGGAGGAGAGATATTTTAAGGTAGCATGATCTGTGTATACATGTATTTGAAATACTATCCTTTGGAAGAGGGAATTATGGCCCCTTGGGAGTCTCTAAGAAGAGGATGACTGGAGGTCAGATAAGCACAGGAAAACACAGTTCATCTTTCAGTCTGTGGAAGAATGCATTGGAAGCTTTTATTTGGAACCCAGAAGGAAACTTTGCACTAAACTTGAATTTGAACCAGCAACCAGAGACTGCACCAGTGATTGTCATACGCCACGTCCTAGCAAATGCTGGTGTCAAGACATGTTTGCTGAACGAGCAGAGTCTTCCACTATATAGCTTTTCATTTCATGTTAAGTAATCAGTAGGAAGGTAAAGATGAAGTTATTTTTTTCTCCAAAATATTTTAGAAAACTCACACCACCAATTTGGTTTTTTTACTTTTAACTTTCACTTAAATTTTTAAATATATTTATGGTATACACCATGTTGTTTTGAAATTTTTATATGTAGTGAAGTTGTTACTACCATCCAGCAAACTAACATATCTGTCCTGTCACATATATTTGAAATCTGAAAAGGATAAAAAAGTCAAGTACACAGAAAAAGAGAGTACAGTCCAGGGGAGGGGGAGATATAGGTAAAGGGTATAAGGGTGCAGTTATTCGGATCAAGAATATAGCTTAGTGGCAGAGGAATTGCATAGAATGTGTGAGGTCCTGTATTCAATCCCTTGTACCAAAAGCCAAATCAAACCAAACCAAAAAAACCCAAACCAAAATCAAAACATCCAAAGAACAAGAATGGCAAAACAAAGCAAAACAAAAATCCCCAAACAGTTTACTAAAGTTACAGTTACACAGGATATATAGGATGATTATCTGGAGGTCATAGGTACAACATGAGAACGGTAGTTAAAAATATTTTATCAAATACCGTATTTGAAATTTGGTATGAAATTTATTCTTTTAATTTAAAAGACGGCAAAAAGAAGCTACCCACTTAACATATTAAATCAGACATTATTCTGAATCAAAGTAATGCTTCTTTATTAATTAATCATCTTAGACTCCACAATAAAAGAGGGAAACAATCCCATGGCATTTGTGCTTCTGCCAATAAGAAGAATATTCTTTAGCTTGCTTGGTGTATGTATGGAGTATCTTGGAAACAAGGCAATAAATCCTGTGGTTTTCTATCTATTTTTTCTGTCTTTCCCTTCTTCCAGTATAACTTGGTTCAGATATTGCTGAGTTAATCAATAGTCATAGAAGGCAGACTTACGTGTTCTTCTGGCCACAGACTCAAACTCTGAAGGATTCCCCACATCCTCTGGTCACGCCTCAGATGTTGAATATCATGGGAACATTAATGGGAAAAGGTGGACTAAATATGCCATTAGCTGGTTGCTAATGATTATTCATACTCTAATGGTCATTAATAGGTGATCGGTGAAGGGTCATTAATAAGAGAACAGCTAAGAATTACTGAGTAGCCATGCAGTATTACCATAGGCTGTACCATAAAATTCAATAATCTTGGTTTCTCTTTCTGTGACAACCCCATATATATATATATATATATACACACACACACACACATAAATATATGTACATATAGAAAAGTATATCAAAGTTAAAGCAAAGATTATTTAAAAATCTACCAAACTACTTCACTGATGGTTATCCTTATCCCTAGATGGTGAGATCAAAGGCATAACTCTTCATCTTTATATGTTTTTGTGTTTTTCAAATTTTGTGCAAATATCTTTTTCTTTTTTGATGCAAATTATTTCAACTGTCTTAAAACAAAGGATGAGAAGTTTCCATCATGTTTGGTAGAGAGGGTTATTACACAATGATACTAGATTTTTCAAGAGAGAGAGAACTGCCTCTTCTGCCCTTCTCTGAGAGGGGTTTGTAGGATGTACTTTTATCTGAATAGGATAATTCAGAACAGACAAAGGAAATGGACCACAGTACTGCTTAAGTATATGACTCTGTTCTTACACAAACACTTTTCCTTAATTTTTTCTTTTGAATCCTCAGGACCTGAATGAGACTGAAGATTCAGCTGTATATTTTCCTAGCACCCTCAATCTCCAACGGCGACTCTCCAGACTCAGAGGGTTCTATTTGAGACTCAGTTCCAAGGAGAGCCTCTCTGCGGGTGATCTCCCTCCTCCCCACACCTGTCCCAAAGAGACCACAACCTCCTTCAAAGGTTTTACCTGCCTGTGGAGACGATAGCTTTGTAGGAAGGATGCATTGTGGGTTATGTAGCCAACCACGTCTCTCTTGTCAAGGCAACACAGGGAACAGAAAATACAAGAAGATTCATCGACAGGGAAGTTCAAACTCAGGATTGCCCAAACCATGTTTGCAAATCAAACACCAACCTGGTCCAGGGTCATGATGTGGACTCTCATAATGAAGACTGAATAGCTTGTGAGAATGTCTTTGGAGACAAGCAGCAGATAGACAAGAGTCCAGGAAAAAGATGGTAACTAACTGACTACCCAATGGATTGGCCAGAAAAACCCCTCGAGCCATTTCTAGGAAGTCAGGAAGATGATTAAGAAGACAAAAAAGAGGACAGTGAAAGCCAGCACAAGGAAATTCAGGAAAAACAGGACGTTCAGGAACTTGATGAACAAATTCAAAAATATGACAGACTTGGTGACTTAGTCCTCCCTGAATCCCGAGGACATGAAAATGAGAACAGTGGAGATCAGAAGGACAAGGAAGAAATTCAGATAAATGAAGAAGAAAATCAGCACCCTGATGAACAAATTCAGAAACAGAACGAAGACACTGACCTTGTTGGGTTCCCTCAAGCCACTCAGGAAGATTTCCAGCGGGGCAGCAGCTCCCCTCCACACCCTGCTCAGGTCGGTCATAAAGAACTTGATAGATGTCAAGATCTACTCAGGTACAAGCCACTGGAAAATAAAGACACTGTCCAAGTCCTAGAGATGTCTCTGATGCTTAAGGAACATGAACTTGCTGAGGTGAGCACATAGATGCCTCCCAGGAGAGGAGGGGACAGGCCTGGTCGAGGTCTAGGTTGAACAACATGGGGCATTACCACCTTCTGGGAAGCAGGGGTGGACCCTGGGTGTCTGCCCTTCACCAGCAGGGGGAGAAGGATGACAGCAAGGAAAGGAATCAGGAGATGTAGGGAAAATGCCAAGGAGCATGGAGGAAGATGGAGGAACAAAGAAAAGAGCTAGTCATCATGCCAGAAAAAAAGGTTTTTGTTTTTTTAGGGTGTCTGTATTTCAGTGTTAATGAGTTTTGAAACTGGGCATTTACAGTTGGACTACTTCTAGTAAAAAGATTTGAGTTCCATAAATGAGTAAATACTATAATAGCTGGGGCATTACATTCATGGAACTTATAATCCTTTGCTTAGCAGATGGAAAGTGAAAAGACCTACGGCCAAAAGGCAAGCATGAAGGAGTCCTCCTCAGTCTCCTCAATGGAGGTAGAGGAGGGAAATGAGGAGGACACATTTGACACACAAACCACAACTGCCTCAACTTGAGGGAGGCCTTCCACTGGCTAAGGAAGAGGGCTTTCTCTTATCTTGAGAGGAAAGTGGTGGTCTGCAGGCCACCAGCAAATCCTACGAAGAAAAGAAGTCTTAGATGCAACAGAATCCAACCACAAGAAAAAAGAAGGCAGAAAACATAGAGTTGAATCCCTTGATTTTTAAGCAGTTTGATAGCCCCAATTGTACAATTCCTATAGGTTTACTTTTTCTCAATAAAATAAATATTCCTATTCTCATTGTCTACCTCTTTCAGTGTATCTTCTTGATTCAGGATGAATATAGACATGTGTAGAGTAATGAAATTCATTCTCAGAAAATTTTAGCTAGCACAATGTTTCCTAATCAGGAGGTATACTTCTTCTCTCCATTTATCCCTTCTTTCTGGATTTCATTAAATTTTATTGATTTTATCCATTTTATGTATCTCATTTTGTTTTGTCATTAATTCACAACCCCATATGTAGAAGGCAGTAGAACAATCATCAAAGTCCCACCAAGATGGCGCACTTTGGGGTGAACTTCCAGGACCCAAGAAAGTGATAGTGCAGATCTAGTTCCTCAGGAAGCTGACCCCAGCTGGCAGTGTTTGAACATGTTCTTGGGGAGACCATGCTTGTTCTAGCATGGTGGGACTCCCTGAATGCTGTGTGGGGGCTCTTGGGTGGGCGCTTAGCTAGGGCTCCAGGCAAGGAGGCAACAACGGATGGCAGGTACAGGAAAGTCCAAGTTCCAGTTCCCACAGGCTACTTGGTGCTCTCCCAAAGTATATCCATTATTTTTCTCTCCATACATGTCATGAATACAGGGAAGGTCTTCTGCTCTCCACCTTCCTCTATCTGCTGCTTGGATACAGTCCACAGTTTCCTCCTGCCCTGTCAGCTTTGGATTGTTCAGATGTGACCCAGGTCTCTTGACTCCCTCTCTTTCCATGCTTTACTGTGACCAGAGTTTTTTTTTAGATGAACCTGTGGATTCAAGAGTTCCCTATAAGGAAGCAGTGGTTTGGCCCAAATTGCTGTGAAATTCAAGGTTGGTAACAATGGCCATAAAATCAACAAAGGACTAGTCTTCTTCAACTCATATACTAAAGCAACTAGTGACCCAGGGTGATCCATAGGCCAGAAGGCACCTAAACACTTACTATTACTGATGATTTTGCATGAAAAATACACAAAATCCCAGTGGAAAATAACCATAAAATCTGCTCTACTGTCTTTTGAGGTCATATGTCCACCCTACAGGGTGCAGGCGGGTAACAAACAGAGCAATGTGCCTGCTCAAGGGATTCAGTTCAGTTTAATGAATAGTTGAGAGCCTTCTATGTGCCAGGTGCATGCTCAGAACTAAGCTTGTGTGTCTGGTTTCTTTGAAGTGAAAAAAAAAAACCTCAGAGGCTAACTTATTTTTTAAATAAGAGTTTATTTTAACAATAGAGAAAGGACTAAGGAAGATGAGAATCTCAATACTCAGAAGGCTTTCAACGTCTAGAACTTGGTCAGGGTACTAAACGAAAGCTCAGCTCAGCTCAGCTCAGCTCAGCAACCTTGCTTCCTTGTTATACCCTTAGTGGCTAAATGCTTGATCCAGAGAGAGTATCAGAAACTGCTAGTTGCCTCTTCAATATCTGCTCTCATTTGTGCTAGCAACAGAGCCCTGATTTTGTTTGGCCTGGCCACGTGCCCAGCTAGAAGTCTGTGTTTTCCAGTCTTGCTAGCATCTAGGTGTTGTCTGTGGTTGCAGTAGACAACCATGGATGGGACCTCAGGAAATCTTTCTAAAAGAATCTCTAACAGCAGAGAAGAGCCTGAGCACTTTTGATCATCCTTCTTTCATCTTTTTTTCTCCCTGGATTTTGGATCTCTTTTAGCATCTTAAGACTTTGAGACTGGAAGCCATGTTCAAGGGATTTTGGAGCAAAGATCAAAGAAGACTAGATGCCCATGCCCTTTGAGAATCTGCCATAGCAGTCCTGGGTTGTTTTTCTCTACTTGTTCATGTTTTATAGGAGATAAACTACTATGTGCGTAAGCCACTTTTGCTGGGTCTCTTCTACAAGCAGGTGAATGTTAAAGGAGGACTGTGCTGACTTTATCTGCCTTTCCTGTGGTCCCTACTGGCTCTTCTCTATTTTTCTCCTCTTTGTAGCTTCCCTTCAACATTTTCTCTATGTTTGTTTTTTGGTTTCTATCTCTACTACTCATATTGTTAAGTCCTTCATTCAAATCTAAGAGTGAGAGCAAATAAATTCAGTTAATTCCCATTGTCTCCTTTGGGCCAAACTTTATAGGACAGAGACTTTTTTTTTTTAAAAAAAGAGTAAGTAAAATAATGTATTTTAAGTGTCTGATCGGCTAGGCATCTGATCAGCACATGCCTGTAATCCCAGCACTTGGGAGGCTGAGACAGGAGAATTTCTGTGGGTTTGAGGTCATCCTGGGGTACAAAATGAATGCAAGGCCAGCCAGGGCTAAGAGTGAGTTCAAGACTAGCCTGAACTGCTAGTGAGACCTTGTCTCAAAAAGACAAAAAAAATTTAAAAACTCCCCAAACAAACAATAACAACCTCCCTCCAATACCCTGCAAAAACCAGCAATAAAGTATCTGATCCATAATTAAGTTTTTGTTCTCATCTTTGACCGATGACATTCTGGAGTACACATTTAGAGTCAAGAAAAAAATATTCCCAATTAGGAATCCAACTTTGGTGTCTAGTTGAAAGTATTCTGATGAAACACAAGGAAGAATTTCTCAAAGCAATTGTTCCATTTATTGGAAATAATGAGAGGAAAATATAATCTGTTTTACCTGGATCCAAAATTCTATCTGTTGTCTCAAGAGAAATCTTAGTACATAACAGATCACATAGCACACTAACACCTCATAAAATGTACAGTGATACTGAAATGAAATGACATCATCACATAACACAATCATTGGCTACCTATGGTCAAATCAGGACATCAGAGTGATGTCAGGAAATCAGTAAATATATATTGATAATCTGCTAAGTAGATCAGTGGTCCCCAGTTGTCTTGGTTACTTTCCTCTCGTTGCTGGGACAAAATATCTGACGCCCAAAATTAAGGAAGGAAAGGTTTATTTCGCTTACAGTTTGTGGAGGGTTCAGTCCATACTTGGCAGATTACAAGGCAGACTGGCACATGGCGGAGAGCTACAGCTCATGTCCACAGAACACAGCTAAGCAACAAACACACACACAAGGGAGGAATGGCCAGAAGCACTCTCTTTTTCTCCCTTACATATGCAAACTATCCAACCCAGGGTGAGTGCAGCTGTCACACCCATAATCAATCAAACTCTAAAAGCCTGCCCCATGACTGCATGAGGCTTTGGTGGGGGGGACACCCAGACACAAACCATAACACCAGTCTTTTTTGGCACTAAGGCTTGGTTTTATAGAAGACATTTTTTTCCATGGACTGGGGGTGGGGAATGACTTCGGGATGATACAAGTGCATAATATTTATTGTGCACTTTATTTCTATTATTTTTGCATTGTAATGTGTGATGAAATAACTACAATTCACCATTATGAATAATCAGTGGGAGCCCATTGCTTATTTTTCTGGAATTAGATGGCCCTATCTGGTGTGATGGGAGATGGTGACACCTGAAGGGTGTTGTTTATATTCAGTCCACTCTGTAATTTCATTTTGGTTGCTGTCACAGCAGAAAACTCTGCTTCATAAAGATAGGATGTTGGAAGTATAAGCAGGCTTTTCAAATTTGCTTTTTAAGTTTTATTTTATTTCATTTTTATTAGTGTTTGTTTGCAATATACAATATTTGCATTCCTTGTGTGGAGTTGGTACATAAAGTAAACTCAGGATGTTCCACCTTGACTTTAATCCAGAATGTATGGAGAATTGCCGACATCTCAAATATACTTTCAAGGCCATTGCCATTTGAGATCTCACGTGGTTGATTGTCTAGTGCTGACAAAGTCAGTTCACTTGGTGCATTCACAAATGGGTCATGGATTTATTCCTTCTCAGTTTGAGAGTCTTATGTGGTTGGGAAATAATGCTCCAACTGTTTTGAAAGCTGAGACAGATGACCACGCACCAACGGGGAGAAATAAGGCCCTGGCTCAATCTCTTTCAAAATCCCTGACAGTGTTCGAAACACATCAAAAATCAAAATGCTAGTTTATCATCCCCATGATTCCTTTTGGCTTTGAATGTAGCTACTTATCTGCCAACTTGAACACGGTTATCATTATCTCCTGAAGTGAAAGACAGTTCACTGAGCACATTGCATATGTCCCATGAATATGCAAGTTTTTTGACCATTCTGTGTGACTGAAATGTGCTGCTGTGGTGTCTTTCTGTAGAAGAAATCTCTGGAGTGGTTCTTGTACCTCAAAAATTCTGGCCCTTGATTTGCCTTTAGGAAGGCATCTCACTTCTGTGTATAAGAGAAGATTTGTGTCCTATGCATCCACCTCCTCACAGAGCTGTGTCAACAGATGTTAGTTAAGAGCGTGTACTCTAATGCAGTTGATGATTTTAATCAACCCTGCAAAATGTTGACTTTTTAAAGCTAGCCAGAATTTCTTTATGGATGATTCAGAGAGAGACTCACATTCAGAAATGACCTCTTTGACCCAAGCGGTGAAATCAGGAGTTAGTCTAGTCATGGCAGCCACTCCATCTGTGCATATTCCAACACAGAATGACCGAGCAGATTTCCTATCATGTAATCATTAAGGGAATCAAACATCCTACAGCTGTTGTGTCGGTTGGCAACAAAAGTGTGCATAACATATCTGCATGCATGTCCTCCTGAAAAATATATTACACAAAAGCAAGCATTGTTGCCTTGCTGTCAGCATCAGTAGACTTGTCAACCTGGATGGCATGCCACAGTGACTCATTAATTCTAACAACTGTGTGTCAATATACTCTGCTGTTTCATCTAGTTGTGATGCTAGTGGAAAGAGGAACACATGCCACCTTTGAACTACAGCATTTGCTAAAAGTTCATGACAAGTGTCCTTAGCAGCAGGTAGGATCAGCTCTTCACCAATAGTGAAGGGCTTCTCAGCTTTTGTGAAGTAGCTTAGTAAGAGGGCTACTAATAACGATGCTTCCTGTGTGAACAGATTTGATGAAGTGATGGCCTTCAGTAATTGCTCTGTTCATGTTCATCT